ACAAATGGGAGAAAAAGGTGAGCAGGGCACAATGGGAGCGTGGTGTCAAGATAATGAGGCACATCTGGGAAGATAGCATGAGTAGACTCACTGGGGATCATGGAGAGAAACGCTCCATGAAACTGACTGAGATTGACAATTTACTGATTTCTGGTAAAATTCAGTCCGAAGAATGGGCAAATAATTATCAAATGAAGTTCAACACAGATAAATGTGAAATAGCACATTTTGATTGGAGGAATAAAGAGGACATTTATTACTTGGAAAATCTGAGTCTAGGTGAGTAGAGGATCACTGGATTCTTTCAATATTCTAAAGACTAAACATTGTGCCACAAGTTAGTAAGGCCACAAAGACACAAACCAAGTACAAGGTTTTATTTCTCAAAAGATAGAATTAAAAAGTAGTGAAGTTGATGTAGACCAGTATTAAATGTTGGTTAGACCTCACCTGAAGTCTTGCAGACAATTTGATCATTAAATTTTGAAGGGATCGCAGAGGAAAATTACCAGGATGATACTGCAAATATGAGAATGATGAGCTGGGAAGGTCTTAAAAAGGGAGGCTGAGGGGTGACCTTATAGAAATGTTTAAAATAATGAAAGGCTGTTTCCTCTTGGGGAAAGAGCATAACTAGAAGCTATCAATGTAAATTAGCCACTAAGAAATCTAATAGGGAATTCAGCAGAAATACCTTTACCCAAAAAATGATAATCACGTGGAACTCAGTACCATAGGAGTGATTGAAGTGATAAAGGGGAAGCTAGACAAGAATAGAGTCAGAAAGTCATAGAGTCATACAGGATGAAACAGACCCTTTCGTCCAATTCATCATGCCGACCAGGCTGTCTAAATTGAATTAGTCCCATCTGCCTGCATTTGGCCCATATCCCTTTAAACCCTACCTATTCATGTCCCTGTCCAAATGTCTTTTAAATGTTGTAAATTGTACCAGCCTCCACCACTTCCTGTACCAGTTCATTTCATACACGCACCACCCTTTGCATGAAGAGGTTGATACTTTGGTCCCTTTTAAATCTTTCCCCCCTCACCTTAACCTTATGCCCCCAAGTTTTGGACTTTCTTATTCTGGAGAAAAGATCTTGGCTATTCACCTCAACTATGCCTCTCATGATGTTATAAAGCCTTGTAAGATCACCTGTCAGCCTCCTGTGCTCTAGGGAAAGAAGTCCCAGCCTATCCAGCCTTTCCTTATGACTCAAACCCTCCTGTCCCAGTAACAGCCTTATAAATCTTTCTGTACCCTTTCCAATTTAATAACATGCTTCCTATAGCTGAGCGACCAGAATTGTATGCAGTACTCCAAAAGTGGACACACCAAAGCCTTGTTCAGCTGCAACATGATGTCCCAATTCCTACACTCAGTGTTCTGACTGATGAAAGCAAGCATGCTAAACACCTTCTTCACCTATCTACCTGTGACGCTACTTTCAAGGAACTATGTAGCTGTACCGCTAGGTCTCTCTGTTTGACAACACTCCACAGGAGCCTAGTTTTTTCACTGTGTAAGTCCTACCATGGTTTGTCTTATCAAAATGCAACACCTCACATTTTCCCAATTAAACTCCAGTTGTCACTTCTCGTTGTACTCTTGGATAACCTTCTTCATTGTCCACTATACCACCAATATGAGGGAAAGGGGAAGGGGAGGGGCTTACTCTGATAGATTTAGGTGAAAAAAGAAGAGGCTTGAGTGAAGCATCAACAATGGCATGGACTGTTTGGGCCAAATGGCCTGTCTTATGCTGCATATTTGATTTAAAATTTATTATTGTCTGCACTTCAGCTTCATCAGGGCTTATTCTAGGCTACGGTCTGCGGCACATACTGCATATATGTAGGATCTGACTCGATGTTTTCAGAACATGAGGAAGCCCCATTCAACGCCCAGCCCAATCCTTACAGGCTTTTCGACTGGATCCATTCCAGTAATGTTTGATTTAAGCTTCTCATTCTTGTGCTCAATTCCGTTCATAGCTGTTACTCTCCCTTTCTCTGAAAATTATTCTCACTTTGTAACTCACCAATGTCTCTGCACTCCTCCAAGTTTGGGAGGTGACGGCCTAGTGGTATTATCGCTAGACTATTAATCCAGAAACGCAACTAATGTTCTGGAACCCGGGGTCGAATCCTGCCATGACAGATAATAGAATATGAATTCAATTTAAAAAATGGAATTAAAAATCTACTGAGTACCATGAAACCATTGCTGATTGTCCAAAAAATCCATCTGGTTCACTAATGTCCTTCAGGGAAGGAAATCTGCCATCCACACCTGGTCTGGCTTACATATGACTGCAGACCCAAAATATGGTTGACACTCAACTTCCTTCTGAAATGGCCGAGCAAGCCATTCAGTTGTGTCAATCAAAGAAGTGAAACCAGGTGGACCAGCTGGCATTGACCTATGCACCGGAGAAGACAATGGCAGAAATAGTTCTGTCGACCCTGCAAAGTCCTCCTTGCTAACATCTGGCGGGCTACTGCCAAACTTGAGAGAGCTGTCTCATGGACTATTCAAGCAACAGCCTGACATAGTCATACTCACGGAATTATACCTCACAATGTCCCAGACACCACCATTGCCATCCCTGGATATGTTGTGTTCCCCTGGCAGGACAGCCCCAGCAGAGGTGGTGGCACAGTGGTATACAGTCGGGAGCGAGTTGCCCTGGGGGCATTAACATTAACTCTGGACCCTATGAAGTCTCGTGGCTTCACGCTAGACATGGGCAAAGAAACGTCCTGTTAGTTACCACTTACCATCCTCCCTCCCGTGATGAATCGATACTCCTCCACATTGAACAATGTCCTTTGAACATTGAAAACTGGTGGAAGCAAGGTAGCAAAATGTACTCTGGGTGGTGGAGTTTCAATGTCCACCAGCAAGAGTGGCTCAGCAGCAACACCTCTAATCAAGCTGTTCGGGTCCTAAAGGATATAGTTGCTAGATTGGGTCTGCGGCAGGTGTTGAGGGAAGCAACAAGAAGGAAAAACATACTCGTCCTCACCCTTACCAATCTGTTGGCTAGAGATGCATCTGTACATGACAGTATCAGTGAAAGTGATCATCGCACAGTCCTTGTGGAGACAAAGTCCTGCCTTCACATTGAGAATAACCTCCATTGTGTTGTGTGGCACTATCACGATGCTACATGGAACAGACTTTGAACAGATCTAGCAATTCAAAACTGGGCATCCATGAGGCACTGTGGGCCATCAACAGCAGCAGAACAATACTCCAGCACAATCTGTAAACTCATGGCCCGGCATATCCCCCACTCAACCATTACCATCAGGCCAGGGGATCAACTCTGGTTGAATGGAGAGTGCAGGAAGGCATGCCGGGAACAGTACCAAGCATTCCTAAAAATGAGGTGTCAACCTGGTGAAGCTACCAAACAGGACTACTGCATGCCAAATAGCTATGTAGCAAGTGATAGACATAACTAAGCAAGCCCACAACCAACGGATCAGATCTAAGCTCTGCAATCCTGCCACATCCAGTTGTGAATAGTGGTGGACCATTAAACAACTCACTGGAGGAGGAGGCTCCACAAATATCCCGATCCGCAATGATAGAAGAGCCTAGTACACCAACGCAAAAGTAAGGCTGAAGTATTCACAGCAATTTTCAGACAGAAATTCTGAGTGGATAATCCATCTCAGCCTCCTCCCAGCATCACAGATACCAGTCTTCGGCCAATTCGATTCACTCTGAGTGATACCAAGAAACAGTTGGAGACACTGGATACTGCAATGGCCATGGCCCCTGAGACATTCTGGCAATAGTACTGATGGCTTGTGCTCCTGAACTTGCCACTCCACTAGCCAAGCTTTTCCAGTACAGTTACTACACCATGTGGAAAATTGCCCAGTTATGCCCTGTACAAAAATAGCAGGACAAATCCAACCCAGCCACTTACTGCCCCATCAGTCTACTCTCAATCATCAGGAAAGTGATGGAAAGTATCATCAACAGTGCTACCAAGCAGCACCTGCTCAGCAAGCAGCACCTGCTCAGTTGTGTTCCACCAGGGCCACTCAGCTCCTGACCTCATTACAACCTTGTTTCAAACATAATCAAACAGCTGAATTCCAGAGGTGAGGTGAAAGTGACAGCCCTTGATATCAAGGCTGCATTTGACTAACTGTGGCATTAAGGAGCCCTAGCAAAACTGGAATCAATAGGTGTCAGGGGCAAATTCTCCACTGGCTGGAGTCATACCACTGGAAATTGTTGTGGTTATTGGAGGTCAGTCATCTCAGCTCCAGGACTTCTTTGCAGGAGTTTCACAGGGTAGACCCAACTGTCTTCAGCTGCTTCAATGACCTTCCCTCCATCATAAGGTCAGAAGTCGGGATGTTTGCTGATGATTGTACTACGTTCAGCACCATTCACAACTCCTCATATACTGAAGCAGTCCATTTTCAAATGCAACAAGACCTGGACAATATCCAGGCTTGAAGTGGCAAGTGACAAATAACGTTTGCACCACACAAATGCCAGGCTATGACCATCACAATAAGAGACCACCCCTGAATCCCTCACTATCAACCTCTGCTGCCTTCAAGCCAAAACCAAAGTCACCCCAACCAGTGTCATCGAGCTGCAGTATGCAGATGATGCAAAAATAAAGTTGCTGGAAAAGCTCAGCAGGCCTGGCAGCATGTGAAGGAATAAACACAGTTAACGTCTCAGGTCCAGTGACCCTTCCTCAGAACCAGACCCGAAACGTTAACTCTGTTTTTTCCTTCACAGATGCTGCCAGACCTGCTGAGCTTTTCCAGCAACTTTGTTTTTGTTCCTGATTTACGGCATCCGCAGTTCTTTTGGTTTTTTGTTTAGTATGCAAATAATGCTTGTGTATGTGCAATCTCAGAGGTTGTAATCCAGACCATTGTAAGCACCTTTATGGAGGCAAATGACACCATGGACTGCACCGTAAACATTCGCAAGACAAAAGTCCTCCACCAACCTGGGCTGACATTGTAGGGCAAACTGCTGGTCATCAAGGTCCACGGGGAGGCCTTAGAGAACGTTGATCACTTCTAATACCTCGGGAGTATCCTGTTGGCCAAAGCAGCTGATGACAAAGAGATCCAGCATCACCTCCAGTGCGCTACCTCAGCCTTCGGCCACCTGAGGAAAAGGGTATTTGAGGACAATAATATCAGATCTGCACCAAGATCATGCTGTTGCCATCACTGAATCCCCATTATCAACATCCTGGGGGTTACCATTGACCAGGAACTTAACTGAACTCACCACATAAACACAGTGGCTACAAGATTTGATCAGAGGCTAGGAATGCTGCAGCGAGTAACTCACCCCCTGACTGCCCAAAACCTGTTCACTGTCTATAAGGCACAAGTCAAGAGTGTGATGGAATACTCCCCACCTGCCTGGATGGGTGCAGCTCCAACAACACTTAAGAAGCTTGACATCATCCAGGACAAAGCAGTCCACTTAATTCGCACCACATCCATAAACATCCACTCCCTCCACCACCAATAGCAGTAGTGTGTACTATCTACAAGATGCACTGCAGAAATGTACCAAAGATCCCAAAACAGCACCTTCCAAATCCATGACCACTTCCGTCTAGAAGGAAAAGGGCAGCAGATTCATAGGAACACCACCACCTGCAAGTTCCCCTCCAAGCCACTTACTCTCCTGATTTGGAATTATATACCCGTTCATTCAGTGTCGCTGGGTCAAAATCCTGAAATTCCCTCCCTAAAGGCACTGGAGTTCAGCAGTTCAAGAAGGCAACACACCTCCACCATCACGAGGGCAACTGGGAACGGGCAATAAATGCTGGCCAGCTAGCAACAGCCATATCCCATAAATAACAGAAAATCTGATTTCTTATCACAAGATTGGCCTTCAGCTGCCTAAATCCTTAACTTTACAATTTCTTTACTAAAATTTCAGCCTTTCTGTTTCTCCCTCCTCATTCAGGCATTTTTAAAAAAATGTACCTTCCTGAAGTAAGATAACAAGGTATAGAGCTGGATGAACACAGCAGGCCAAAGCATCAGAGGAGCAGGAAAGCTGACGTTTAGGGTCTCGACCCAAAACGTCAGCTTTCCTGCTCCTCTGATGCTGCTTGGCCTGCTGTGCTCATCCAGCTCTACACTTTGTTATCTCAGATTCTCCAGCATCGGCAGTTCCTACTATCTCTGTAACTACCTTCCTGAAGTGATGCCTTTGCTCACTTAGCTTAATATCTCCTTTGGCTGTCTATTTTTCTTGTTGTGCTCCAGTGAAATGCCTTGGATGTATTAATCGGTTGTACTTAGTTTAACGTAAAATAATTTGACCCAAATAGTGAACTAAGCCTGGAACCTTGTTTGTTTTTAATTGTTACAGTAGAAGCATAAAACAAATTTGAGAAATGTCAATTGCCTTTAAATTACTTAAGTAACATTATTATGCTGTATTATTTGCTCCACATAAAAGTTATTGACCAAGTCAATAGTTATTGATTATTCCATAAAGTTGAGTAAATCAAAGTACACTTTTATCATTCATAAACCATGACAGAGAACCACCACAACATTGTATATCATATAAACAAATTAACGTCATTAAATGCAGAAATCAGTTCATACCAATATTTAAAGTACAAAGATCTTTGTGATTTATGAGTTAATATTTAAAAATAATTAACAGCTGATCCAGATGGCACATTGGGGTAGTGTATTGCCCAGTACAATACTGACTCAATTCTGAATCAATTCGTTTATTGGCCTGCGCTAAATTTTAGCTCGAGCTGTAAAAAATCAGGACCGATGTACTAGGGATGTTTCCATTCCTACTCAATTTAATTGATAAGGAGCTTCAATCTGAAACATCTGTGTTCTGGTTGAAAGTACAACTTGGCCGAGTTGTTAACTTTCCAGACTGTCATAGACTTCCCTGGATTCGAAGAACAATCTCCAGGACACAAGTGTGAGTAAAGCCAAGAGAAAATGCATAGTAGGAATAAACAAAATGAACTTTTAATGTTCTTTGAACAGTTAAATTTATTTGTTACAATGATGCTTTGAGCAAAGTCAACATCAATCCATTTCTCTGACATGTTGCCATTACAATTGGAGTTGTGGAGAAGGTGCACTCAAAGATCACACAATGGTGGGTTGGTAGAAGGTGGGTATTTCTAAATGTGAGATCATATAATGAAACCCACAAAAATACACCAATCATGAGTTGGCATCTCGAGGTTGGGAACAGCCTCCTTGGTAGAAAAGTCTAGCCAAATTTTCTAGACATGTGTTTACAGAATGGGAATGATGTGACAAAACAGGATGCAAATTTATAATGAATTAATTAATACCATGCATCAAAGTAGCAACTAGAGCAGTAACAGACAAATGTGTTAAATATCATGTTAGAAAATTGGCGTAGAAGGGATTAAATTACTCTTTATTCCCTTTTCCCAAACACTGAAATTATTCAAAATTATTATCCATACTGGTGAGGTGACAGTGGCTATATTTCATTCAATATGAATAAGATTTGACATAAGCTAGAATCTGAGCAGAAACATCAAAGCACAACAACATTACCATCACACCCTGGGCAGAAGTAGGGCCTCCATGTAAAAGTTCCCTGATCTACCCAAGATGCCATGGCACCAGCTGATGCTATATGTAAAATCTTTACAAATCTCTCTCGAGAATTTTACATGTTTCAAGAGATTACTTCTCCTTCTTCTAAACTCTAAGCAATGTAATCTTACGTTTCTCAATTCAAGTCCATTCAATTTGGTCCATGAAAAAATGTCTACCCTTCTTTGTCTCCTGTTCAAATGGGAGTATAATGTCAGAAATCATAGTGTTGTCACTTTGGCTGAAATAGGAAAAGAGAATATTGGTTGAATGGAAATAGATGCAAAATGTTACAGTACAGGTGGATTTGTGTGTCCCTGTGATTGAAACACAAAATATTAGCAAGCAACTTCAGCAAGTAATTAAGACAAATTGAATGTTGGCTTTTATTGCAAGGGGTATGAAGAATTAGATGATTGACGTGTCGCAGGGTATTGAAGCAATCACAACTACAATACTGAGTAATGCTTGAATACTAGTCTCCTTTCTTAAGGAGGAATATTTTTACCTTGGAGGAAATTCAGAAAAGTTTCGCTAGGTTAATTCCAGAGATGAATGGGTACATTGCTTTAAGAACAAAAGTTGAGCTGATTAAGACTACACTGATTGCAGTTTGGAAGAAAAGGAGGTGATATTGTTGAAACATATAAGATTTGAAGCAGCTTGACAGAGTCGATGTTGAAACAATATTTCCCCTCACATGAAAATCTAGAACTAGGGGACACGGTTTAAGTGGTCTCAATTTACGATCGTGTAATTTCTTCTCAGTCTCATCGTAGGAATTCTGTTCCCCGGAAAACAATGGAGGATGGTTATTAAATATACTTAAAGCTGAGTTATACATATATTCGATGATCCAATGGAATCCAGTGTCATGAGAGGAATGGCGGTAGTGGAGGCCACAATCAGATCAGCCATGTTCTTATTGAAAACTTGAGCAGACTAAGTGGACCAAATGGCCTATACCTGCTTCTAATTCCAATGGTGTTATCCAAATCTGCTCCAATTTGGTTTCATTGACTTCTTTCTTTCTTTATGTTTTTATCTAGTAATTCCCGTGGCATTATTAGCCAAGGCACTGAGTTTAAGAGCAAGGAGGCTATGCGAAACTGTATAAAAAGTTGTTTAGGCCACAGTTAAAGCATAACATCCACTGAAGAGAATGTAGAGGAGATTTACCTGGATTTTGCTGGCTGGAAAGTTTAGTTATGAACAGAGATTGGACAGACTGGGTTTATTTTCCTTGGAGCAGAGCAGGTTGACAGGGACAACACTGAGATGTACAACATTGAGGAATGTAAACAGGGTAGACAGGAGAAGCTTGGTGAAGAGAACAATGAATGGGGGTACCGATTTAAACTAAGGGGTACTTGGTTTAGAGGGAGTGTGAGGAAACCTTTCTTCACTCGGAGGGTAGTGGAAATCTGGAAGTCCACTGCCTGTAAGGGAGAAATCCTCATAACACTTAAGAAACATTTAGATGTACACCAGCGACGTCAAGGCATACAAGGCCATGGGCCAAGTGCTGGAAAATGGGGTCAGAATAGTTGGGTGGTTAGTTCTGACTGGCACGGACTGAATGGGTTCTTCAAGAGTCTTTTTCTATGCCGATAGACCTCTACGACTCCCTTCTAATGCATGAAGGGAAAAGCAATTCCCATGTTCCCCCAGTTGTCACTCTCTGTCTCCAGAATCTGGATGCCAAATATTTGCTTTGAAACGAAAGCACAAATTAACTCAGTGACACGACTATATTCCGCTACCAGCGCCGCGCTACCTCTCCCTAACTTGACGGCGGGAAGCCCCACCCCGGCAGCCGAAAGGGGTGGTGCTGTGGTACAATGCTGAACGTTTATTGGTCCATAAACACATCAGTCAGCGTTATCCGATCCGTCATTTCCGCTAACAGGCTGAGTTGACGCGCTATAAAAGGCTGCCCGGTTGTCAGGGCGCCATTTTGTCAGCTGTCGGTTGTTTGGTTTAGTTGTGGTTAGGTTGCTAAAAGTTTGTCTTTATTTCCACTGGGTTTGAAAAATATATTTTTTTTTGTTGGTTTGTTTGTACCTGCGTGTGTGTGTTCCTTTTGTTTGCTTTTGTTAAAATGAGTGACACGGAAGACTTGACTGATGAGGAGAGGGTGAGTAGAAATGGTGCAATGAAGGGTTTAGTGCAGACGCTTGAGGATTTGACGTTCCAGGGTTTCTTTGATCTCTCACAATCTTATCCATAAATAATTCTTGTTTTACTCCAGATAATGCCCTGGGTGTGAAGTAGGTTTATTGTCATTGCGTGACTAGGGAGGCACCTGTGTATATTTTAAAAATTACTAAAAGCTCACTTCATTTTTAAAAGAAGATAAATTGACGGTTTTTCTAAAACAAAATTCATCTTTTCCCCAGTCCTCACTTCCTTTCGCTGCTTTTTACTTCCAATCTTAAATGAAAGCGCACGGTAGGTTTATTTATTATTGTCAGCCATCTTTGCAACATGCCTGACATTCTGCTTTCAAAGGACCAACTTATGTAATTTCTGTTTCCTTTTGAAAGATTTTTGAAGTTTTTTAATAGTTGCCAGTGCTTGGGAGTCTAGGAACTCGGCTTGATGTCTGTCATTGCTGCCTTTCTGATGGCTAGTTTGCTATTACTATATCTGATTCGGATAAGAAATTTTATTTAGATTACAGGTCTACATTGAACTAGCTGATCTCAGTTAGGAATTGAGTCACCCAAATTGGCTTTGGCATCCCTTGGTGAATGGGGCAGGTGTGTGAGACAACAGACTGCCAGAGTCCGATCAGATCCTGATGCCTGTCCAGTCGCCCTGTTAGAAAGTGCAGATGCATCGCTAAAGTGTGAATTTCGATGACATTTTCATCGGATGCACTGTTTTTCAAGTAGTGTTGTGATTGTTTACTGTTTCCTTTGTCATGTCATGTTCTTCAGTGACATGTATTTGTGATGTATATTGTAACTGTCTGTAATTCCCTGTAAAATGACCTTTGGAGTTAATCTTGTTTAATTGAAATTGATTGTTATGGCTGTTGGGATTGGCTGTCAACTGGTTATATTTCAAGTGTTACATTTCGGAGGATCCTATTGTAACAAACTTTTAATACATTTTCTGGTTTGATTTGGAAAATTCTCAGATGTACTAAGTCAGACATTGCAACTGAGTAAAACAGCATCAGTCATATGTCCATTTATTGAAAGTTACTTTGTTAGCATTACCCTCAATTAGATAAGTCAAAGCAATTACAGTAAAGTAGCCCAAGGCGATGCATCTTTTGATTTCTGTTCACGCTGCAGGGTGTCAATAATGAGCTATGTGAAGTAAAACATGTAGCCCAATGTTTTGTTCTCCCCTGTGCTTTTCTCAGTATATTGTATTTAGAACTTCTAATTTTAAAGTCTCAAGATCAGTAATACATAAAAATGGTGTAATGTGCATGAGCTATATATTGCAAATCTTAGTTTATTATGCTGCCTTGTTGAGGACAGTGACTTATAATCTCACTTACTCATCTTTGCTACTTAAACGTATTAAGAGAAATCTGCTACTTGTGATTCTGAAGTATGCAGACCTGAAGTCACCAAGGCCTGATGATCAGTCCTGTTGAGTTAGGTTATGTTTGCATAGCAGTGAGGGAATTACAATTGCTACAATTGCCCTGGCTCCTGACTGCCACCCAGCAACTGCTGCTGGAAAATGCGCACCTCAACTGAATGTGAGACTTCCTTTTTAAGAGTGTGAAACTTTACAGTGAAATTAAAAGCATCAGTTTTAATTTTAATTTTTCTTTCATGGTCACTGGTAAGGCTAGCAGTTTTTGCATAACCCTAGTTCCCTTTGAGAAAATGGTGAGCTGCATTCTTGAGCCATGCAATAGGATAGTTAAAAATGTCAAGAAGGAAACTACCAAGTAGGACCCCTAACCCAAGAGCCAATTATAGGACGAAAGTTTGTGATTGGCTTTTGTAACAGAGGTTGGATTAAAACTGTTTTCTGTTTACTTTGATACTTCAAACATAATGAACCATTGAAAAAAAATTTAACACTTCCAATCAAGACAAATTTTCAATGGAAATAAAGTGGCAGACTGGTTGTGAAACAGATGTGAAAAAATACATATGGCTAATATACGTACATACCCTTGCATACTATTATAATGTTAGAAGACATTCTGTAGGGTAATAGAATGCGTGAGCTGTTCTAAGTTTTATTCCCAAGTACTTTTCTATGTCCTCAATCTTGTGATCCTGAACTATCTAAAAGAGGAGCATGATTCCTGTCCTAGGTTCTGACGAAAATTCAGCAATACAAAATATAAACTAACATGTTTTGCCACGGCATTTCCTGTTTCCTTTTTGAATTCTAGCCTCTCAAATGCTATCCGTGCATTAGTACTTCAGAAAAAGGGGTCAGTTTGATCAAAAGGCCTAATTAGTTTATTATCTCTGTGGGCACTGAAATTATACCAGCAGCCATAAGCTTTTTACCTAAACTTTGTAGTCTGTTTGCCTTGGTACCACCAGTTAGTGTTAACTTTCACTGAGTCATCATTGAATTAGCTGCCATATCTTAATCTATTTAAGTGGAGCACTCAACTTTTTTAGTTGTTTAACATTTTTATTCTTTCAAACAAATTTATAGGATCCAACAATGCTTATATAGGCTTTAGAGAAGGAATTTTGTTTTATGAAGCATTGAGGAAGGATGTACTGTTCTTGGAGGGGTTTCCAAGGAAGTTTACAAGCATGATCTTGGGAATGAAGGGCTTGTGTGACTCTGGGTCTGTACTCAGTGGAGTTTAGAAGGATGAGGTTGGCTTCTCATTGAAACTCTCGAAATACTGAGGCCTGGATAAAGTGGACATGATGTTTGCACTAGTAGAAGTCAAAATCCAAAAGCACAGCCTCAGTGAAGATACTACTCTTTAGACTGAGATGAGCGGAATTTCATCAGCCAGTGGTGAATCTATAGAACTCATTGCCACAAAAAGCTTTGGAGGCCAAGTCATTGAGTGTACTTAAAGATATATAGGTTCTTGATTAGTAACCTTTGATCCCATTACAGGGAAGAAGGCAGGAGAATAGGGTTGAGAAGCATATAAGCCATGATTGAGTGGCAGAGCAGACTCAGTAGGCTGAATGGCCTAATTCTGCTCCTTATCTTTTGTTTATGGAGTTTACGGTATTTGTATGCATAGCATTGTATGTAGCCATCTCAGATCTTCAGTGTTTTGTACAAAAATTTCCAGAAAGAAAGGTATCTTTGATTTCAGTGAAGGAACTACTAAATATCTGAAAGAATGAAGGCAACCATAAAAATAAATGTAATTAACTTGTTGCATGTGTTAAAACTGCAGTTTGATTATCATGCACCTGCTGACCTTGTTCTTGTAGGTGGTAGATGGATATTGGAAGGTGCTGCCTAAGGAGTTTGGTGAGTTACTGCAGTCATCTTGTAGATGGTTCATACTGTAGCTTGGATGTGGTGCAGTGTACTCATCAATGTAACCCTTAATTTAGCAAGAAATTGAATTTTGACATCCATCATTAGAACCTCATCCGTGGAGGAAACTTATCATCTTGAGAGACTTTAGTGATACTTTTGAAAACTAAAGCACCTTCGGTCTCTGTTTGAATAATATGCTTAGAAATTTTTGCCATTAAAATCAATTGAAATAAACTGTCATTTTAAGTACTTTTTCACTTGATAATTGAAATTGCAAATCTGGGGATTTTAATGTTGTTAGGAGCTGCAGATGCTGGAGAATCTGAGATAACAAGGTGTAGAG